TGACCCGGCCAATTGATGCCATGACCCGGTTGATTCAATGATCAATTTCTCCGTTGGTCGGGATGATTTGTGTATTCAGTTGATCAGGTGACCTGGCAGGCTAATCCGGTGATTTGGGTGATTTGTTGATCTGGTCATGGGGTGATCTGGCTTGGTGATTTGGTGATTTGGTGATCCCGCTGATCTGTTGATTTGGTGGTCTGGACGGCTGATCCAGTGGTCCGTTGATTTGGGCCGGCTGATTTGGTGATCCGATCTGGCTGATCCAGCTGATCCAGTGATTCGGCCGGCTAATCCAGCTGATCCGGTGAGGTGGTGATCCCTCTGGCTGATCCGGTGATCCAGGTGATCTGGCTGATCCGGCTGATCTGGCTGATCACGTTGCTCCGATTGGTCCGGCCGATCGGCTGATCCTGATGATCCTGCTGATCCGGTTGATCCGGCTGATTCGATTGATCCAGCGAGTCCAGCTGATCTGGCTGATCCAGCTGCGGCTGATCCGGCTGATCCGGCGTTCCGGTGATGCAGCTGGGTGATTCGGGTGATCCGGGTGATCCGGGTCATTTGGCTGATCCGGTTGATCTTGTCGATCTGGGTTGTCCGTGTGATCCGGCTGATCTGGCTGATCCAGCTGATCCGGCTGATCCGGGTGATTCGGCTGATCTGGCTGATCCGGTTGATCGGGTTGATCCGTCCGGCTGATCCGGTGATCCAGCTGGCGATTTGGTTGATTGGGTTGATCTGGTGATTCGGCTGGCTGATCCAGCTGATCCGGTGGGTCGGTGACCGCGTCTCTGCCCGATCCAGCTGATCCCGTTGATCCAGTTGATCTGGCTGATCCGGCTGTTCCAGCTGATCCAGTTGATCAGGGTGATCTGGCTAATTTTGCTGATTTTGATGATTTGGTTGATCCAGCGTACGGGTGATCCAACCGGCTGATCTGGCTGATCCAGCTGATCTGGCTGATCCGGTGGAGTGGTTCGTTGATCTGGTAATCATGTGGTGCATCTGGAAATCCTTGGGAATCCCCAGAAATTCCAGGACATCTTTGTGAAATTGGTGGCCCAGGCTTTCAAATTTTCCAAAACCTCCAACTCTGAACCTTTCAGGGCTGCATGGGCCTTTGGGCATTCCACTACGTGCTGCAGGGGTGGCGGATAATTCAGCTGCTTCTGATGGTAGCGATGGGAATGCCGATACTGATGATGGTAGTGACGACGGCGAGGAAGATGACGTTGATGATGCTGGTGATGGTGAGGGAGACGGTGGCGATTATAATGGTCGTGGTTGATGATCCTGACGGCGGTGGTGTTGTAGACGAGTGTTGCTGCTACACTTTCTGTTGATGCCGCCAGTTACGCTCATGCTGCTGCTGCTGATGATGATGCTGATGCTGCTGCTGCTGACGATGATTCTGATGATGCTGCTGCTGATGATGATGCTGATGCTGCTGCTGCTGCTGATGATGATGATGATGATGATACTGCTGATGATGTTCATTATGATGATGATTCTGATCCTTATGATGATGATGCTGATGCTGATGCTGATGATGATGCTAATGATGATGCTGATGATGATGATGAGTATGATAATGATCATGCTGATGATTATGATGATGATGATGACGATGATGATGATGATGATGATGATGATGATGATGATGATGATGATGATGATGATGATGATGATGATGATGATGATGATGATGATGATGATTATGATTATTATTAGGCCGTTGCTGTGGATGATGGCAATGGTGATGCTGGTGAGAGTGTGGGCGAAGTTGATGATTATGATGATGATGGGGAGGATAAGAGAGATGGAGGAGGACTGAACAAGGAAGATAACGAGGAAGAGCAGGAGGAGGAGGAGGAGGAGGAGGAGGAGGAGAAAGAGGAGAAAGAGGATCATGAGGAGGAAATTGATGATGTTGCTGCTTCTGAAGCTGATGCTGCTGCTAATGATGAAGAGGATGGGTTGGATGAGGAGGATGACGAGGAGGAGGAGGCGGAGGAGGAGAAGGAGGAGGAGTGAAATAAGGGAGAGGGAGAAGGAGAGGGAGAACAAGGAGGAGGAGGGGAGGAGGAGGAGGACAACAACATAGTGAGGGGCTGGAGTTAGGAGGGAACCGAGGAGGGAAGGAGAAGAGAAGACGGAAGACATGGTGACAAGGACCGACAGCAATTCTCGTCCATTTCGGATTGTCGCTGCTGTCGGCGTTGCCGCGGGCGTCGTACATTTGAGACAAGAAGTCGCCTACCCAACAGCGGCCGCTGTCGGTTTGGGCTAACATTTGCTGTCGGGCGTCGCTCCCATTCCGTACCCATTGTGGGCGTCCAGGAGTGGGCGCCCGTAATGGGTACGGAATGGGAGCGACGGAGTGGGCGGCCATTATGGGCCCTGTCGCCTCCGAGAGAGTCCGCGCGGCCTTTCCCGCGCCATCCCCCCTCCGTCGCCCCTCGGCGGGTGGGCTTCGTCCGTGCTCGTGCCTCCTCGGAAGCCCTCTCCGCACGAGCCCACTCCAGGAGCCTCCCGGGAGCCGACCCAAGGATCGGTGCAGTCAAGACGTTGAGATAAGGACCTCTTGTGGTTCAGGAGGGACTCCCGTCTTCGGGCCGCGCCCTGGTTCTGGGTCGGGGAACCTGCTCGTGGCCGAGGCTCGCCGTGGCCACAGACTCTCCTCTGTTTTTACTCAAGACGCTTCGCGTTCACCGCCCGCCCCTTCCAGTTCTCGCCAGAAGGGACGCAGACGGCGCCAAGTCGGGGTGACACTATTGCGAATATAGTGAAACACCTTTCCACAGGGTCGTTATCCGTAAGGGCTTCGCCCCCTGCCGCCGGCCCCCTCTCGGTCAGAATGGGATATGTCAGAGCTATGCTGGAATTCCTTTGCGCCGTTGCGAAGCAATGTCGGAACCTCCTGCGAGGGCGATTGGTAAGCAGCAGACTCAGGTTCAGAACGTATAGTTGAGTTCCATATTGTTATTCTCGAGTTCTCTGTCGTACCATGTATTGGAGCAGCGATTCGGGGCTGAGGCTACGTTGGGCAACATCGCGTGGCTTTGGCTGCCTTCTTGGGATGCCTCTTGGAAGCCTGTTGGCGGCTTGGCAGCCACTTGGAGCCCTCTTTCGCCCTCGCGGGGCTGAAGTCTCAATTCTTCGGTTCGTGGTCTCGCTTTGGACCTCTCGTGGTGTCATCTTCAGGGAGTTCTCGGGCCGTCTTGGGTGCCTCCTGAGCTGTCCTGGTGCCCCCTGGGACCGTCTTGGGGCTCTCCTGGGGGCTTCTTGGGCCGTGTTGGAGCGGTCTTGGCCTCGACGGCGCGAATACCGTGTACTTTACTACAGATCATGGCCTCGAATGCGAGAATCTGCGTCAATGCACGAGGGATCGTAGCCTCTAAGGCGACACTGCGGTATACTTTGTGAGGGTGTATGGCCCCGGGGACGCGAATATCGTATAATTGTCGAAGGTTTATGGTTTCGGGGGCGCGAATA